GTGTGCTGGTTCTTAGGGGGAATATTTTGTATTGAGTAAAGTCTTGGAGGATTTACATTGTGAGGGGGAATATTTTGGAGACCCTATACCTAAACAAAGTTCACTTGTTAGGATCAACTTGGGTGCATCTAGTAAAAGGGAATCGATGAGAGATACATCTGTCAAACCTAGTTCTTCTATTGGGAACCATATAAACTGGGATTTCGAATTGATACAAATAAAATTTATAGTTGGTGTTGCAGTTGATAGTACACGTCCAAGGAACAGATTGAGAGAACGTGTTCCTTTACAAGTGATATTCAAGAAAATTTGTTCCTCTTACTGACTCTATTGAAATTAAAGATGAGTGAACTATTGTTTCTGCAGAAAGAACATGATTGATTGAACAAGTTCCTCAAAAGTGAAAAAAAAAGGATTGAGCGTGCATAGACCAAGGTTAACTTTGAAATTGAGAAGACTGCTTATTTTGTTAATCCAAAAGATATTTTTGCTGCTGAAAATGACTTTTATTTATCCACTCATCTTTTGATACTACCTAACCACTCTAGCCTTTGACTTCCAAATTTTTTTTCATCGCAAGTGCTTGATTCTATGTTTAATTTTGATTACATTTGTGGTGTATATGCTTTTTGATTAATGCTAATGTTGGGTTTGAGTTTCAGGTTACTGTCTATCTCCTATGTTTATGCTAATGCTTTGTTTTAGCTCATTGGGTTCTTGATTTTTAAGTGTTTGTGTAAGTGATAGCCCAGTGGCCATGAGTATCGAATTTGCCTAATGTCAAAAGGGGGAAGCAGCTGCATATGAGTTATGTGTACCTATTCAATGCAAGCAGATAAAATTTTCCATAGTCAAAAAGGGGGAATTTGTTAAAGTATTGTTGTTTTGAAGTATGGCAAAGTTAAGGAGTTGTAGTAGTAACATGGCAAAAGAAGGAAGATGTGTGTCTTATTTGCTGAGTTCGAAATGCATAATTGTCATCATCAAAAAGGGGGAATTTGTTAGAATGATAAAGATTTTGATAATTGATAAATATAGAAAAATATGAAAGAAACAAGTTGTACAGAGGTGTTCCTTACAGAACGAATTCGACTTGGATAAGGAGAACGTCAACCACGTGAATTAGAAGTTATAAAGCTGTGGAATTATTATTTTTTCGACAAGCAACAAGTACAAAAAGTTTCCTTTTATAAAGGAGTTCAAAACCAAGTGAAAGAAGGAAAACTAATTCCTATTTAAGGAAATCTATTTAAGGAAATTGTGTTTTCTCATTTATTAAGGAAATTCTGTAGAAAAGGAGTCCAAGTAGAAGTCAACAAGGATTTGTAGAAGGCAAATACAAGTTGAATTATACAAGGATTTATTGAAGTTTTGATCTATAAATAGGGAGCTATTTGCATCAAAAAAATTGTGCACTTACATAGAGAGAAGATCAAAACACGATCAAGAAGTTTGAAAGAGTTTTGAGATTTATTGAGAGTGTAGAAATTTGTGAGAAAAAATTATAAAATTGTAAGAGGGCTCATTAGCAATATTTTCAATATTTAGTAAAAATGTCAAATTTTAGTTTGTTATGTATCTTATTTATGTTTTTATTATTTGTTTTTATTTTAAGAATGTAATTATTTAATAACAAAAGGGAGAAAATCAAGGGAAAAAATGTTTCAAAAAAAAAGTAAGGATCACTTAATTTTCTCATCAGTTACATTTTCAAATAAAATTTAAACTTTATTCTTTTTTTTTCTCTAGAATTTTACCTTTTTAAAATTATATTCATTCCACAATATATTCTATTTATATTTATTATAGTTTTTTATTAGTTTGTATTCATTCCAATAGGTATGCCGAATGTATCTATATAGTCATTTAAGAAATATATTTGTATTCATATATTTTTTTCCCTATATAGTTATTTTTTTCTTCAAAAATCTTGTATGTATTCATTTCAATATGTATTTTATTTGTATTTCTATTTATTCTAGTATTTGTTTAGAATTTTGTATAATAATAAATAAAATACAAAAAATTAGTATGATGAAAAAGTGAATGAAATATAAAATTTAAAAGAAATAATTGAGTATTTAGTGTACTCATTCTTAAATAAAATACATAACTAGTTGACATAACTTTAGAATAAATACAAATTAGAAAAAAATGTCAAGTTCAGAAACAATGCAACATAATTTTTGAATGAATACACCTATTAATTGTAAAAAATACATACGGACTAAAACAATATCAAAATTCAATATATACTTCCAAATTTATGAATACAAAAAACAATAAAACTATGAAATACAAAAATAAATGCTAACTGTGGTACATTGACATAACTATCACAAAAAAAAAGAATACAAAATGAATTAAATATATGAAATACGATTCCAAATCTATGGATACAAAATACGATAAAACAATGAAATACAAAAATACATACTGACTAAAACAGCAACAAAATTCAATATATACTTCCAAATCTATGAATACAAAGAATATAAAAACTATGAAATATACACAATCAAACTCATATAATGTGTTACATTGACATAACTAACACATACAAAAAAAAATAGAACACAATACAATAAATATATGAAATACAAAAATAAATACTAACTATAACATAATAAAAAAATTCATATACACTTCCAAACGCATTGTAACATGAATTTTTTTAATCTTAAAAATTACTAAAAAAAATTAAACTAAACATGCAAGACACAGAACAAAAAAAAATTACCCGTTCTCCATCAAATTGGTCTTCTTCAACTTCATGGTTATGAATTTGTGTGGGATTTTGCACATCAACGGATTCAAACATTTTTCCCCGTCATATATCCTCTTTAGATTTAGAAGTGGAACCTACATTGTTGTTTAATTCTTGAGTGAAAAAAATTAAATGATGAAAAATCGGAAGAACTTTGACTATTTTGTCCAGTACATATAGTAACTCTCTTGAAAACGTCTATTGAAGAGAGAATTATGTAGTCTCAAACCCTAAAAATATTTTAAGAACACCAACAAAACAATTTTTTTTTAAAAAAAACACTAAAATCAGTAAGTAAATAAATGAGGAATCTGAAAAACATAATACCCAAATTAATTTTAATCTTCAAATCAAATCTTGCAACGAAATTAAATGAGAAAAATAGAAAATATTAATATATTTAATCGAAAATCTGTGGAATTGATTTGGAAGAATGTTAAAGAGAGAAATTGAAAAGAAGCGTAAAAAATAAGAGAAAAATCTGGGGATTTGATTAGGAAGAAAGTAAGAGAGAGAAATTGATAAGCTTAAGAAAAGAGAGAAAAATTAAAATGACATTAATATCTATCCAATTACAAAAATATAGAAAAATGTTTAACTATGAGAGAGAGAAAATATTAATAATATCAAAATAAATATTTATTTTTAAAATAATGATATTTTTTACATGTTTACTAATATTATTAAAGTATGGATATTATCACTAAATAAATTGGTTTTTTAAACTAGTTATCTAAATTTCCCTAATTGTAGAATGTAGAATGAGTGTAGTAAAATTTTGATTTCCCGTTTGATCGAACTAAATTAATTAAAAATTAAAAATCAAATTAAATAATTGAAATTTTAAAATTCAAAGAAAACTGAGGGGAGTAGCTTTTTTAATATTTGTAAATAAAAATAATAATATTTGTAAATAAAAATAATATCATGTGAACAAGCATGGTAGAAATTATTTTTCGACAAATCATAAAATGTAATATAATTTGATAGAAAACAATAAACTAGTCGAGAGTATAATATATATTTTCCCGATAAAGTATGAAATGTAATAGCAATTTTAAAAAAATTAATAAATGTGGAAAAGAAATATTAATAATTTGCTATGAAATAGATAATCTTATGATTGTGAATTTTTTTTTTATATTAACTATATTCTGAATAAGATGCGGGATATATTAAATTTCAAAATTTATATCGAGATAATACACTCAATTCTTTCAATTAAGTAACTCTTGGGCTATAAAGAAATTTTCATCATTAAAGTTTTTTAATAGTGTCTTTAATATTTGTTAATGAAATAATATGAAGGGAAAATAATAAAAAAAATCCCTTAAATTGTAGAAAAAAGTTTTAAAATATCATTCATCCATTTTTTAGTTTAAAATACCCTTCCATTCACCTTTTTGGTTCATGTACATCCTTGAAACTAACAACTCTTTATTCTTTATTTTTAAAAAATATTTATTATGTATCATTCTCCTGTTGAATGCTATGAAGATCTCACCTCAATTAGATTATTTATTATTATTTATCCAAACCAAAGCAATATACTTCTTCAAGACAAATTATGATATATATATATATATATATTACGTGTAGACATCATAAACGCGAGGTATATGTTATGTTTCACCATCTCTTTTATGTCTTTGATAAATTCCTTTCGTGTCTGCAAGTCGAGAAATTATCTCTCTGTCTTTTTAAAAAAAACAAAGCAATCAAAGAATAAATCAACCCACATAATAACATTTTTGTCACGTAATATTTTTTTATGATGACAACATCAATAATAACGATAACTTATCAGTGTGATCTTATAAGGTCCAAAAATGGCGAAACAATATGTCAAAAATGATTAAAATGTACGCGGACCTTAACATTATCTTTATTTGGAAAAAGAATGCATAGACACGTGACAATCTCCACCTCTATAAAACCCTCAATTATCTTCTATTCTCCTCACTTCTTTTTCCCGCAACTACAAAAACTTAACCTAAAACCCTAAATTACTCTTTTAGCAGAGGCGATCAATGGCTTCCATCGAACAAATCCAAAATGGTTCGCTTGTAACGCATGAATTTGAAGATTCTCAAGTGAATCCGGAAGAAGCAGACGGAGGTTTGGTGAAAATCGGACAAGAGGTTTCGATATTGAAGCCGAAATGGCCTGGATGGCCTGGGAGTTGCGTGTTCAGATTGATTGTACCGGTGCTCAAAGTTGGAAGTATTATTGGGCGTAAAGGAGAACTTGTTAAGAAGATGTGTGAGGAAACTGGGGCTAAGATTCGTGTACTTGATGGACCTCCTTCTTCTCCTGATCGCGTTGTAAGTTTATCCTTTATTTTGGTTATGAATTCCAATGCGGATGACTCTGTTTTTATCCAGATTTTATATGATTCATGTTGATTTTACTGTCAAGGTTTGGATTTTGATGTGAAGTTTTGTTTCATTACTGGTTAGGGGGAGGAGGGTTCAATTCAATCCCCTTTATCAAAAATAAATGCGTATAATGCTCTTTTTTACACACATTTCATATGATTTTTTTTGAATTTGCTGTCAAGATTTGGATTTTGATGTGATGTTTTGTTTTGTTTTGTTTTACACTGGTTAGGGTGGAGGATGGTTCAATTGAATCCCCTTCGTCAAAAAGATGTGTATGATACTCCTTTTTTATACACATTTCATATGTTTCATGTTGATTTTTGCTGTCAAGGTTTGGATTTTGATGTGATGTTTTGTTCACCACTGGTATGGTGTGGAGGAGGGTTCAATTGAATCCCCTTTGTTAAAGAATTTTACCGTGCAAAAATGATGAAAGAGCTTTTGTTTGTGCATCAGTCTGAATTTATGCATCACATTTGGGATTTTGATAATAACCAATTTTTTTTGTGATTCATAAAGGTTTATATGCCTTTTAAGTATTTAAAGTTGTTAATTATTGTATTTATAGTACACTTTACTTAGTTTTCACATGTAAAAATTTTATTTTAAAAAAAACTTACAGCTTTTATGCCCATAATTTTGCGGTCAAAGTTTATAAGTTTGAATTTTGAAATTTCAATTGTGCCACGTAAATCGGGACATGGAGAGTATATAATCTTTTGAATTACCTTGATTAATGGAAAATTCTAGGGTATGTCAAAGGTGATAAAGAAATTGCTTTCAATATCACCAATTCAAATTCAAGTTGCAATTTTGTATTTGTTTGAATCTCCTTATTAGAATCCTTGGTCCGCCACTTTCGCTGGTATAGTAATGCACTCGTTAAATGAACGTCTTAATCTAGTCAATATGAAGAGAGGAAGTATGGCATCAGATTGAAAGTAGCAGTTCACTGTACATCTAGGTGTAAAATATTGGGAACTTGTATAGTTCAGGGAAGGGTTGGTTGAAGATTAAATTTCGCAACCCTAAGATGAAAAGTAGGATTCTTACCTCATAATTCTCAAGTTCAGATTTATTGGGTGTATTTCTACTCATTTCCTTTTCTGACCTATAAATTGTTTTTATGGTTGAATAAGCACTAAGGGTTTAGGAAGTTTGAGTCTTGTGTGACTTAGAGTACCACTTATTACACAAGTTACTCCCTCTATATAAATTTTCCTTGTTGTTGTGGCATGACTCCTCTGCACGACCCTATAACCCATTCCCACATTCCTGCCTTCACAAGGAAACAGAGATAATGCTAGATGTAAGGAATTGGCTCCATTGATCTTTAAATGTTGAAATAATATAGTTTTAGTGATGAAGTTGCATAGGATGTAACGAAGAGAGGGCTGAGTACTACATCAATGTGTTGCCGGAGATACTTGGCTGAGATTTACAACAGCAAGCTAATGGCAGTTTGTGAAAGAAAATCAGCCTATAGGAAGTTCACAAATGAGAAGAAGTTTCTGCAAGGTGTGAGATCTCAGTTTCATATTAGCTCCACTTTCAGAACTTCATAAAAACATCCATTTGAAGTGCGATGAATGTGTTTGAAGATAGATGTCAAAATTAATTTGAGGGAAAATCAAATGGAAGATTGAAATAATGAAAATGCAAAAGACCAAAAAATTGAGGTGTGGAGAAAGAATTATTGACCTTTTGTGTTTTCATTCTTTTACTTTAGGGGGGCCAGTGGTCTGGACAATAAGGGGTTGTTTGGTAGCCGGTTAGATTTATAAAAGTATTAGTAGAATATGAATTATTATGAGGGTATGTATGTATTATTTAATGCAACGATAAGTTATTCATGTATTAGTTATTCCATCTTCTATTTTCCATAAAGTAATACATAGATACCCTCATAACTTGTACATATGTTATGTGGTTTCTAAATTGCAAAGTGAACATTGTAAATAGGTGTGTTGAATTTTATACATAGTAGAAAAATGATACAAATAAGTTTTTACTTATTCAAAATTTAATACATGAATTATTTAGCTTTTAACTAGCTACCAAATGAACCCTAAGGGGTTGAAGATGTGCGAAGACATAGGTTGTAGATATGATAAGTAGTGTCCTTTCCCTGTAATATGACTAATTGAAAGGGGAAAGGTGATCACTAATTATTTTCTTGCAAAGTTTGAATTTTATTCGTCATCTCACTTTTAATATTCTTCATTTGCTACCTTTCTTTCCGGGTATCAGTTTCTAATATTTTCTGTTGTGAAGGCTTCCAACCTCCTTATTCTGTTCTGCCCTCTCTTTGAAGTAGTCTTCATGATAGTCCTCATAAACAATGCCACAGGTTCTAATATCAGGTAAAGAAGAACTCGAGGCAGCATTATCTCCTGCTATGGTAGCTGTAATAAGAGTGTTCAAACGTGTCACTGGTCTCTCTGAAGGTGAAGATGATGTCAACTTATCTGGAGTTGCTGGGGCTGCATTCTGCTCCATCAGACTACTCGTAGCATCATCACAAGCTGTGAACTTAATAGGAAAACAAGGGTCTTTAATCAAGCCTATCCAGCAAAACACTGGTGCCTCCATTCGAGTTCTTTCCAATGGTACTTATTTGCGGTCTTTATTCTATTACTGCTTGAGTTACTAGAATTACTGTTAAATAAGTTACAGGGATTCACTTTAATCTGTATACTCAGATGAGATGTCAATCTATGCGACGTCAGATGAGAGAATTGTGGAAATTCAAGGTGAAGCACTTAAGGTTCTTAAAGCTTTAGAATTGGTGATTGGGCACCTTAGGAAGTTCTTGGTGGATCATAGCGTTCTTCCCTTGTTTGAAAAGAATGTAAGCTCATGCCTTTTTCCTTTCTCAGTTTGTCATCGTATCAATGTTCTTTGATATGCTTATCCGTGTTATACTTGTTCTTTCCGCAGTACAATACACCTGCCGTTCAGGAGCGCGAAACTGAGCCTTGGTCTGAGAGGACGATGCTTAATACCTCACGATCAGGACTTGGTGATTATCCTCCTCGATCAGGACTTGGTGATTATCCTCCTCGATCAGGGCTAGGTGATTATCCTCCTCGATCAGGACTAGGTGATTATCCTCCTCGATCAGGACTTGGTGATTATCCTCCTCCAACAAAGAGGGACTCACTGTTTCCCGAACGTGAAAGCCAGTTGGACTCACATTATCATTCTACTGGACTTTCATTGTATGGGCAAGACTTTGGACTTTCTGGAACTCGCACTTCAGGTGTGGGTCGTGCTGGGAATTCTGTTATTACTCAGGTTTGTGCCTTTACCATCTTGCTTTACATTACAGAGCTGTCTCGTATGTTCTTAACCGAAAAGCAATTTCAGTAAGAGGATTTCTCTTCTCATCTATTTTCACATGGTATGAGAGCTTGTACAATCTTTGTGGACACTTAATTAATATGGTCAGGGGTTTAGGCTGTCTGATCCAACAGTTCTCTTTCTTTCCGTGAGTTACTCTTGTTCCTTACTTTTTTTTGGGTGACTGTTCCTGTGTGTTTGTGGCACCGGCTCTTCAGCAACCTTTCAAACAGAAAAGTTTTCAAAACCTTTGGTTTTCTTTTTCTTTGTGGTATTAGAGTGGGGATGTTAGACTCTTACATCAAGTTTCTGTTCCATAAAAATCCTACTTTGGTCTTTTCTAAATGGCATGTTGTCCAATTATAAGTACCTCCGTTGACCATTGAGTTTTTGTCTCTGTTTCAAGGGCCTGTTTTTCTTCTTTTTGTTGGGGTATTAAAATCAGGCAGCGAGTCCCTCCTCTGAGCATTGTATTTCCGGTCTTGTTATAGCAACTTTTTATTTCATTTCTGCTTCCAATTCAAGCTAAACTGATGAAGTTCTGGACAGTTGCATCCCGTTAACTTTTTATATGAGAATATCTTTTTCTGTGTTTATACAAATAGGCACTTGTCTTTTATATTGGACAACTGCTATGGCTTTCCTGGGAAAGAATCTTAACATTACCTTTCTTTGCAGTGATCTTTTAGTAGTTCTTGTTCAAAGTAAAAGAACTCAATTTAACTAATTATCTTTAGTTCTTGTCGAGTGTTGAAGGTGGATCGAAATACTAAAGTTGTTGTGAGAATCTGATAGCGAGTCTTCTTATCCCCGGCCCTTCCCACCTGGGGCTACCCCTACCCTAAGATAAGACGGTTCCCGCCCTCAGGTCAGGGAATAGAGCTAACTGCATCGGAAAAAATAGCAATTCCTAGTCCGAATCCTGGACCTGTTTCACGCTTGAAAGCAGCAATTCTTCTTCCAATTTCGAGTCTAGAGTTCCATTCATTGTTCTGCAACTTTGGGTTACCCTTGGAGTGCTACTTTCAAATCTCAGTGGAGGCAAAAAATGCTAGGTGCAGTTTAAGATCTCTTGCCTGCAATTCCCTGATAGTTTCAGTTTAAGGCTAATAGACCTGTACAAGATTATAAGGACAAATGAAGTTAAGTGATGTTGTTAAGTGAGAATACGCATTGACTTTTATAGTTTTATTTGGAAGGGTGAAGGGCTCAAGCGAACTAGATAGATTGGTAGAAATTCCATGTTTGCTCTTGAGAAACATTTGCTAATTGTGTATGTACTATTTTTCTTTGCTAAATCATCCAATCATCACAAGCCGAGTATATGTAGCAGTATGATATCTTAACCGTGTTTGTAAGTTTTGTGATCAATTGCATTTGTTTTCTGATCTAAAAAGGCTAGACCTGTAAAATTGTTAATAACACTTCCAATGTTTCTTATGCTAATTTTATGTTCTCTGCAATGTATAAGAAGTTACTCTGCTATGTCATAAACAATATACTTGTTACTGGCGCCCTCATCTTGGTTTCCATTTCAGATATCCCAAACTGTTCAAATGCAAATACCATTAACTTATGCAGAAGATATCATTGGCATAGGAGGAGCAAATATTGCTTATATACGCCGTACTAGTGGTGCCGTTCTTACGGTGCAAGAAAGTAGGGGTTTATCTGATGAAATCACGGTGGAAATAAAAGGGATGTCATCACAAGTTCAGACAGCTCAGCAACTTATCCAGGTAAATCTCAATTGAAAAAAGACATCTAGTTGATAAGTAAATACTCCACATCCGATGCACATCTAAAACCTGCAAACTATATGTGATTGAGGAGTTCCCATAGTATTCTCCTGAATTGCAAAACAACTGATGAGTGAATCGTCAATGTAGGAATTTATGAGCAGCCACAAAGATTCACTTCCAAGCAGTTATGGCCAGTTAGATACAGGCTTGAGGCAATCATCTTACTCTAACCTAGGTGGGGGCTCTTATCCATCATCTTCATACGGCGGACATCATTATGGTGGTGGCTATGGATCATTTGGTTCTGGTGGAGGATACAGTAGCTACAGGTCATGAACAGAATAGCCAGAGTCTTAGGACTCGTACTTCCCTTCCTGAATGTTCTTGTGCATCGAATGCCAGAGCAAACACTGAATCAACCACATGTGATTCATGCTTTAATCTCATATCGCATACAACATTGTATTGATAGCTTTTTCAGTAGCCCACCATAGCTTGTAGTTGTTACATGTGTATCGATATGATACCATTGAATCTTTCGTTATATTTATTTTACTTTAAGCTTCGTTTTGTAAATGTTGCAACTTGTGACTAGCACAAAAATGATCAGTTGCAATTGCCTCTCCAGAGGGGTGGTAATTTTTCAGATATTTATGAATGGACCTTGTCAAAGTTTGTTGTTTTTAGTGCTTCTTTTATGCTAAGTTTTTCAAACGATTAGGTATCCTTTGACAAACTTAGCTAGCATTCACGACCTAATGGAGCATGAAAAAGCAAAACAAGAAACTGAAAAATCATGGCAACAAACAATTTCTCCTTGTCTGCTCAGAACTCATCTAGGATCGTTTTGATAATAATGTTCGTTGGGCTATTTCATACAATCACAATGAATTATACAATTAATTTTTTGTATATATGTATAGCGAAAAAGGCATAACTCTCAGTTGTATATGTATAAAGAATTATACATATATATATTTTTGCTATGGAGTATAACTGTGTAAACTTTGCTATAACATACAAATTTAAATTTAAATTGCGTTTGCTGTGAAAGTTGCAAAAAAAAAATGACATAATGCTCTTTATAAAATGTTTGCTAAGAAAATCTCAAACTCTATTCTCTAGCCAACTATACAAAAGATGTACTTTATACTAATTATGCTATCAAATATATAAATTATTCTTTTATTGATCGTTATTTTAGTTTTGTACTTCTTTTTCCTTTTATAAATTTGATTTTAATTTTATATCATATAAGAAATCTTTATATTTACATACAAATATATATTACCAATTAATTTTTGTAGTCTTTTTATAAATCTCTTTTTATTTTATGTCATTTTTATAACAAAATTATTTTCATTTTTTATCTTTATACAAACAAAGAAATTATTTATTAGTGATCAATATTCAAGAATACATATTGCAAGAATAATATGAAAGACGAAGAAAGATTACAATTTTAAATTTTAAATATGGCAACAAAAATTTTGAGTTCGAGTTTTGAATTTCTATGGAAAATAAATGGGAAAATTGTATATAATAGCAAACTAATAACCTAAATTAAATGGAATAGCTAGAGTTTGATTTAATTGTGCTTCATAGCAAACATTAGCTAAAATTTGCCAACGTCTCTC